CATCGGTTTTCAGCGTGCCGGTGGAGTCCAAGTCAGCAGAACTGGTAGGACATTCTAGTTAACTTGTATTTCTCTCCCTCTTTCCCTGGGTTATTCCTTTACCTTTCTCCTTATAAATAAATCCATTATTTAACCTTCTTGAGTGTGTCCATAAAATGATTGAATTGTAAGCGTGCGGGTGAAGACCCACAGACAGGCAACCCAATTCACATTGGGGTGCCCTGTAACAGTAAGAGATGTGATGAAGAAGTTAAGCCATGCATCTAAGGAGTGAGCGCCAAGTGGGAGCATCTGTAACAGTAAATAACTAGTTCTCCTGAGCAGCACTCAACTCCTTTCCAACTTACTAAACTTTCTGTGCCATTTAACTTTTTCAACTACAAATAAGTGATTTTCTAAATACACTAACCATTCTTTCTCCAGAATAGATCATATTTTGGGCCACAAAGTCTTAACATTTAAGGTTGAAATTATCTTGTTAATTTTTTGGTATCTTTTCTAACCACAATGATATGAAACTAGACCTTGATTGGAGGGAAATTGGAAAAACTCCATAAATACATGGAAGTTAAACAATACATTACTAAGCAACCAGAGGGTCAACGAAGAAATCAAAAGGGGAAATTGAGACCAAAAGACATCAAAACTTAACGTTTTTTAGCTGCTTCTGCTAAATACTATGATAATGATAAATTTTTACATTAAGAAAAATTGCACATAAACAACCTTTTATTGTGGGAATTAGGGGGAAAAATGGAAGGAAACTGATTAAAAGCAGAAAGAAAATAGAAAGATTATAGAAAACTGATTTTTGAAAAGATAAACAAAATTGACAAAACCTTAGATTCACCAAGAAAGAACTCAACAAAAATCCTCAAAAGAGGAGACATTAAACAATCGCACAATAACAAATTGGATGACCTAGAAAAGAAAATCCCTGAAATCATACAACCTACCAAAAGTAAATCATGAAGAAAATCTGAGCAGGACAATGACTAAGGAGGCTAATAAGGTTAACTTAAACAGCACACTTTAACACATGTGCATCAAATCTTAACATTGTACACCCTGAACTTACACAATGTTTGTCAGTTACAACTCAACAAAGCTGGAAAAAAATAAAAAATTTCAAAGGGGAGACCATACATGGGAACAGCAAACTCAGAATGTCACCACACCAAGGGTTTCTCCATCTGCTCAGGAATTTTAAATTGGTAACCCAGCTGACACTATTCAGTCTGAGACATGTTCTCTTTCACCAACACGGTCCTTTTGTTTGTTTCAACTAACCCAACAAATTCAGAAAGTCCTGAAATTCAACCCTTCCTTGAAAAACTGGGAAGATCTGACAAAATAGGACTGTGAATGAGCTACAAGTTAACAATAGGAAGGCTCTTTAGACCTTTATTCTCCTGCCACCACGACTCTGAACGCTTGCAGCCAGTTCTGTGCTTTCTGGGTTATCAGTTAAATTCAAAAGCCCTGAAAGTTTCATCTCCTGGTTCAATGTAGAAGGAAACCAAGGACTAGGTGGAAATGGAAATTTAAGTCAGCTTGTCAGAAGCAAAGTAGAGGGCACTGGAGTTTGCCAACAGACGGTGGGACGCTTTGCTTGGCCACGGAATCTGGGAACAGCGGATATAACAAGGGTTTGGTGAGGACATTAGGGTCAGAGTTTGGAACGGGCAAGCTGCCCCCAGCTCCAGCTTGGGGAAGGGAGAGTCTCCTCCATCCCCCTCGAGGGTCCACACTGCACTTGTAGAAGCTCCACTGCTCGTCTCCCCTGCACCAGCTCTTAAGCACAAAGGAACACACCCGGGCTCCTCCTCAAGGCTTCACCTGATAGCGGGAGCACATGCTGGCACTGGCCCCAGCGGAAGAAAGAACGTTTGGCTCCCGCACAGGCGACCCGTTGGGGCTCCACAGCAGGGTGCAGAGGGCCTTTCCAGTTCCTCAGTATCGCACCATCTAATGCCGGCGACAGTAGCCCGGTTCATATTGGGTGCAAGGGTGCAGAGCCCCTTGAAACGATGGACCCACTGAACTGAGGACCTGAGCCACGGCCGTCAGCGGTCAGTGCGCCCAGCGGCGGGTCGAAGAACGGTGCGCCCACCCTCCGCCTCTGCGCACAAGAGCGCAGGGGACCCCGGGGCGGAGTCGGGGGCGGGGCTGGGTGCACTAAGCCTAGTCAGAGGCGCCGGGAAGAGCTGAGGGGGTGGAGCCCCAACTCTTGCGGGAAGACCGAGACCACCGCGCGCCCGCCAGGGAAGTGCTCTCAAGCTTGAAAGAAAGAGACCCGCCACCCACGCCCTCCACGCTGCGCCTCCCGGAGTGCAGGCGCGCACCCCAGAGGCGGGAACCACGGAACTCGCCCACACCCCTAGCTAGGGTAGCCGGGGTACTAGAGCGCTGGGGAGAGGCGTGGAGTCAGGTACGTGCTGCGAGGTGAGACCAGGGCCCCGAGCTCCCCTGGTGGGATGGGGTGGGGGATGGGGGCGCAGACTCCCACCTCTTTCTCTGGGCTGTGCGGGTGGAGTGGGGAAGGGTGTAAAGGGATCCAGACTGCTCTGCCTCCTGCCACTCTCCCAAGGTGTCCGGCTGGCTCGAGAAAAGGAGTTGGTGCCCAAAGATCCTTTCATACTCCCCCCCCCCCCCCCGCCCCCCCACGAACTCGCTGGGACTGGGCAGAAGCAGCCAGATAGCAGCCAGATAGCAGCGTGTAGCTGGGGGATCCCGCCAAAGCCAAATTGTGGGCGACGGTGTAGGCAGAGGAGCACCGTCCTGAAAGGTGAACAGAAATCGCCTTGGGAAATTCCCTTCACTGCGTTCTCCCCCTAATCCCATTTTTCTTCCCGCGGGAGGCCCCACACGCTTTGCTTTGAGCCGGGTTTTCTGACTTCAGTCCGCCCCTGCCAAGGCCGCGCCTCCTGGGACCACGCTTTGGGCCGGGTGTGCATGGGCACAGCTTCTGAGAAGAGTTGGCGAGGGCGGGGAGAGCATCCCCGAAAATGGGACCTGTACCTGGCCCAGCCCAGATGGGCCACGCCCTCTTCCCTCGGGTCTAGGTGCTGGAGAGCCGCTGGTTAGAAGCCCTGGGGGCGGGACTCAGATTAGCGGTCTCAGACCTCAGGGACTGGGGCGTGTGCGCTCCTGTGAGAGGGAGAGGTGACCCTGACAGAGCGATCCTGGCCCTCTCTTAGATCGATCGCCGCGGGTGTGCGCCGCAGGTGGGCTTGTCCCTATGGCTTCTGTCCGTTCCTGGGTCAGTGCCTGACCCTTGCTCTCCCACGCCTTCAGGGCACAGCCTAACCCAAAGTAGTTTGGCCAGCTTGCTACCTGCATCCCCTGGGTCCCATCTTGAGTCCTTTCAGTTGTGCTAAGGGGGTGGGAGCAGGGCCACCAGGGTCCCATTCCAGGCTTTTTCTGATCCTCCAAGCATCTTGAACCCTGTGCCCTTTCTGCTAAGGGCTCAGTACTCCAGAGACTGTATTTCCTCCCCACTGGGCATCTTGAGGCACCAGGAATGTGTGGGATGGGAGCAACCAGCGAGCGCAGTTCAGTCCTCAGAACCTCCTGGGTTCTCACTAACCTCTTTCCACCTTGGAAACTGTTTTCAGTTAAGCTGGGTCTCAGAGCAGCCACCATCTGAGTACACAGACCTTGATAGGATGTGGTGCCTCCAATCTGTGGATTCTGGGTGGGGAAGTGGGAGCCCAGGGAGGGGAATAGGCAGGGCCACACCAGGTGGGGGAAGAAGTAGACAAAGGATTTTTCTAGCACTCTTCCCAAAGCTCAGGGAAGCTGCAGAATTCCTCGCTCACAGCCCCTCCACCTGCACAACCAGCTGGGGTCAGGATCTTCATTCACCCACCCAGCAGATTCCATCCAGCCCTCACAACGTGCTGGATCCTGGGCTAGGAAGCAGGAATGGGATTTACAGGAGGATTGGGACACAGAGCATAACTCACTGGCTCAAGATGACTCAGCCTGTCTATGTCAAAATGGATTTGGTGATTTCCAAGTGCATGGTTTGGCCGGGACAGAGGGAGCAGTGCTTTGGAGGGAAGACCCTGCTGTGTATCGGTCCTTAGCTTTGCTGTCCCTGGTCAACAGATGGTACAGCATTGTAACTACCACAGAAGTCTGGGCCAGCTGCCTGGAGAAGTCTTGTAAAAAAAAAAAAACTTCAGTAGACTCAGAGTTGTAAGGAAAGCGAACTGGCCCTGGTCCCCTGGGAATTGGACAAAGATGCATGTCCTTCTGGAAAGTCCAATTCATCCTATGCCCAATTACCTCTTGGTAGCCAATGGAGGGTTTCCAGATTTTCAGATCTCATGTTGCCCCTCCCAGTACCCTGGGTAGCTATGTCTGTGGGTAGACAATGGCTCTGGATGGCCTATACCTAAGGGACACAGGAGATACTACCAGGTGCTCTTCTGCATGCTGTCTGCTGTTTGTGTCTCCACCCAGGCTCTAGAATGATGTTTTGACTCTCCCCAGAGTTGCAGACAAGGTGCAAGGCTTGCTGACCTTGTGAGCATTAAAGAACTGGCCCTCCACTAGGGTCACTCCGGACCCTGAGGCTCCCTACACTATACCACCGGCAAGCTTAACCATGGCAGCCCAGAATGGAAATACCAGCTTTGCACCCAGCTTCAGCCCACCCCAAGACCATGCCTCCCTGCCCTTCAATTTCAGTTATAGTGATTATGACCTTCCTCTGGATGAGAACGAGGACATGACCAAGACACGAACCTTCTTCGCAGCCAAGATCGTCATTGGTGTGGCACTGGCTGGCATCATGCTGGTGTGCGGTATTGGCAACTTTGTCTTTATTGCTGCCCTTGCCCGCTATAAGAAGCTCCGCAACCTCACCAACCTGCTCATCGCTAACCTGGCCATCTCGGACTTCCTGGTAGCCATTGTCTGCTGTCCCTTTGAGATGGATTACTATGTGGTGCGCCAGCTGTCTTGGGAGCACGGCCACATACTCTGTGCCTCGGTCAACTACCTGCGCACTGTGTCACTCTATGTCTCCACCAATGCCCTGCTGGCCATAGCTATCGACAGGTGAGCGGGTTGGGCAGGGGTAAAGATGGCTGAGCCGTTTGCTTACTTCATTCCTGGCAGTTGATATGGATTCAGAATTGAATGTCTGGAACATGGGGAGTAGACAGGTGTGCACTGAAGTGATAAGAGGCTTGAGAAAAGGTAAATGCAGTAAAAGACAGTCCTCAACCTCAGCGGAGCAAGGGGACCTGGCTTGTCCGGTTTGAGGTCACTTTTCCCCAAAAGTGGGCTAGAGTAACAGCTCCTGAGCCCTCCAGTCCTGGCCTGTGCCTCCTGGGGCCGCATATGCTTTAGATATTGGCCCATCAAGTAAGCATGATTAGCATCAACTCCAAAGGCAAAAGCAATTAAGTTCAAGCACTTACTGAGTGAGTTAATAGGGGAGCTTCCAGCCCAGATAACATGGACCAAGGTGGTTTGCAGTCACTGCAGGATATGCAACATGCCATCACTCACACCTGCTGGAGCCCCTTACCTGTCAGCCCTCCTGCCCCAGGCCCGATTTCTGTCATCGTAGTTCAGTGTTATCTGTTCCTTAATATCATAAATATGGGATCATATAATATGCAGTTTCTGGTGACTTTGTTGTAGAAATGATTTCAAAGTAAGATTAGCAGCTTGTTTGAAGAAAAAGCAAAGACCATGCTTATCTTTGCTATTTTGCATATATCTGTGTGCACATTTGCATATATTTGCATGAGATGTACTGGAAGTCCTTCCTCTAATATAAATTTTGCTATGTAAATTTATATAAAATGTATAATAGCTTATGACAAGCTTCACACATTTATGTGAGGTGATATGCCAGCAGCAGGCCACTAGTAACTGAGGGGGACAGTGATGCCATACCTTAGTCAACCATTTGTGAACTGAGCCGAAGCTCATTTTAATGATGTTTTTTAATTATCTTTTATCCTTTTTCATCTCCATTTTCCACTAATTGTGATGCTATTTAAGTTTGTTGTCCTTTCTAATCAACCAGCTGATTATTTTTCATCTGGGAGAATAAATACACAAGTATAAGAGGTTGTTACTGCTTTATAACATAATCCCTGCAGGAAAAACAATACTGTTAATATAACTCTGAAGCTCTCCAGTCCTGAAACTAGTGTTTATGACATGCTCCTATAAACTTATGGAACACTGGCCTCAGTTTCCCTCAGCCAATAAAAGGAAACGGTTTGAGGAAAAGCTTGTTGACAGGCGAGCAGGGCAGCAGACTCCTGTCTAAAAGATCACACAGTCCTGCTCTTTGGCAGGGGGAAGGTTTCCTTATACAAAGGAGAAAAAGGAGTGGACAAGAGTCTGCAAAATGGGGGAGCAAGGGGTCATGGAGACAGGTGAGCCCCAGCTTGCTTTTTTCAACAACTGCTGTTTAACTCCCTTTTCCTTAGAATGCAAGACAGACCTGCCAACAAGCAGGGACTGCAAGAGTTGGGGGAAGACAGACTTGTTAATGCTTCTCTGAGACTGGCCATAAAGAAGACAAAGCTGTCAAAGAAGGGGTGATTCAAGAAATAGGGGAAAGACAAACCTGTTAATGCCTGTCCAAGAGACTGGTCATTTGTAACTGTCTTAACTGCACAGATCAGGGAAACGTCAAGAATGACCTTGGACAGAATCCTGGAATCAGCTTCCAGGGCCCCACCCTGCCTGACTGAATGGGAACCCCTTGGGCTATTGTTCCAAGAATCTGCATTTTTACTTCCTGATTTTTGATGCCCCTTCAAGAGTCAGCACTATTCTTTATCCCCTTTGTCCCCCTGAAACCTTTCCTCATAATAGTTTTTTTCATAACAGACTTTTCTTTTACCACCCTGATAAAACAAAGTGGTGGTTATTTTTCAGACCCGCTCTGCCTGACAGCATCCCAGCTACACTGGCATTTCCACCTGTCTCCCAGCTGGAAAAAGATGCCATCTTTGCCCACCTACCTTCTTGTTCAGCCCTAGTCTTTTCAACCTCACCTTTTGAGAAGTCCTCATAATACTCCTCTAACCTGTCTTCGTCATCCCTTTGGGGGCTCCTAACTGTCCCCTGACATCCACAGTCACCCACAGCAAGTTCCTCTATAGTCAAGTACAGCTTATTCCTGCTCAGGAGCTCTTGGATAGGTACAGATCACATCTGAGAGCTCACACAAGAGCGAGAGGTGGGAGGTGGGAGAGAGTCACGGTGAGAGCTGTTCTGGAAATGCTGCATAGGTAGCCATGAGGATTCTAGAAGCCAGAGAAGGCTGTTAGACAGCAATGCAGGTTTGGCAAGGGGAGTAGACAGGTGTGCACTAAAGTGATAAAAGAGGCTTAATAAAGGTGGATGCTGGTACAACTCAGATCCATAACGTGCCTGTCTATATATATGGAAGCAGTAAAAGACACGATCCTCAACCTCAAGGGGCTTTTCTTAGCCGTGAAAGCTAGAACAATCAAGTGGTGTCAGAATAACCTGGATGAAGAAGGGATCACATGTCACCAACACAGGCTGGGAAGCTTTCTGAAAATATTGATTCTGACCACCTCCTCATCCTCTCAATGACAGAGGATTCTCTGGCCCTCAAAAGCACAGGCTGATCAAGCCCATAGCACCCAACACTGGACAGACGAGACTGACAACAGCTGATGAGTCACCTTGGCTCACCGACCAGGGAGGGGATGACACACACCATGCAGGACCCCGTAGGAGTCATACTCGGGAGTAGGATGGACCAGCAGGGGCTGTGGGTAGTGGTAATGGCAAGAAAATGAGATGACTGTTAACTCCTATAGGAGGTGGTCATAGGCTTGTCTAAATAATTCTGGTAGCTGACAAGAAGGTGAAACCCATTTGGTTGAGAACTAGGGATGCAGCTGGTCTCGCTGGCAGGGCAGGGAAGACTTCCTCATTGGGTGCAGGGGTATACTCACAGCTGAAGTCCTGGGACCCTGTGAGGCCAAAGATGGCAAGGCAGCACATGGGATTTCAGGCCTTATATAGCCTAACAGTACCTTCCTTTCTCATTCACGTATGAACCAGTTGGGGAAGATAAGGCAAAATAGTAAGAAATCTGGATGAGCCAACTCTTACTTTTGCTTGATAATTCTGACATAGGATGTTGGGGTTTTCATCATGGGCATGGGACCTCTTCAGACTCAGTGGTAGAATCAGATCAGTTTGCATAGCCAGACGCAGGATGGGTGGGAGAAGCAGAGTTCTGTGCTCTTCTGTTTCCTCCTTGGTAAGATAAGCCTTTCCTACCACGTAGAGCTATTACGTTACACCATTTCCTTCCTATCCTCTTTTCCAGCTCTACCTTCTCCCACCACCTCTTCTCCCCACCCCACTTCCAGCACACAAATTCTTCTAGGACACCAAATTAACGGAATAGGTTATAGTAGGCCTTTCTGGAAATGGGCACTCAACCTACACAAATGAGCTCACTTCCCAGAAGGCCCTGACCTCTTTCCCAGGCAGTGTTGCTCACCAGAAAGAACATGCAGAAGCCTTATGCTGTGTGCTGCAATCTGGTTGGCGTGACCACACGCACCTTATCTGAGCTGGAGCCAGCCCAGGGAAGCAGCTGGAAAAGCTTTGTACCAAGACCCTGGATTCTGACAACTATCAGATGACTTCACTTATAGGAAGAATGTAGGGGAGCCAAATAAAGGATCAGGAAAAAATGTAAATAAAAAAGCAAAATTAACTATAAACCAGACATTCTGCAGGAGAGGAAAGGGATTAAAACGGGCAGGGGAAGAGCCAAGGGGCTTAGGCGATGGTGTGGGTGAACAGGTGGTGGGAATTTTACGGGGACTACACCTGAGGAGAAAGCAAACGCTGTACCAAAAGGAAGTAAAATGTAAACTACATACAATTTTTTTTTTTTTTAAATTAGCCTGGGTTCTGATCCTGCACCAAGAGAACTGAGAAAATCATTCAGCTCTCAGTGGATGAAGTGGCAGTCCACTGCCACTTTCCAGCTGTGTAGTACAGGACGACACCCTGGGGGAGGAGAGAAAGCCCTTGTCCACTGCCAGATAAAGGTCTCCCCTTTCTGAGGTCCTCAGCTCTTCCACCTGTGAGCTAGGAGATACTCAGAATAAATTTTGAAAGCATTAGGTTCCTGGGCAGAATGGCAAGGCTGGCAGCCAAGGTGGTATCAGCAGGACTCCCTCACTATGCAAGGGCACAGGTGTTAGCCTAACATCTACTATACACCAAACTTTTCACAAACATTGTCACGTTCATGTTCACAGCTTCCCTGCAAGGTAGAAGTCGCTTTATCACAAGTTTCTTTTGAGGAAGCGAATCTCAGATCAAGTGATTCATTCAAAATCCCAAAGCAAATCGGGGGTGAGGGGGGGATTGAGATCAATTCCACCTGCTTAACCCAAAAAGCCTGTGTGGTTTGCCCTAAAGGGCTTCCCTGCTGGAAACACAAAATGTTGCTAAAATGAGGCTTGTGGAAGCCAGGTAGAGTACACACAGACTCACTGTGCAATTTTCTGCTGGTGTGTGCACGTGTGTTTGGGGTTAATTTAAAAGTGAATGTTTCTAAGCAACCATCACTTCTTTCTAAGATTTATTTATGCAAACAATTGGGGTACAGGCCAGACGTGTAGGGGCGGTGAGAGGATTCACCGGAGACAGTGGGGAGCTGAACAGGCAGATCAACGAAGTACACTGCTGAGGGGAGCAGCGGGCGAGACAGGTCTGCTGCACCGTGTGGGTCACCTCCGGGACGGAATCCAATTCACAACAAAGCAGTTGCCACTCGCTTGCAGTGCTGCGCTTTAACCTGTTCACTCTTACCCGTGACTTCCCTCTCCTGCCAGGTATCTCGCTATCGTTCACCCCCTGAAGCCACGCATGAACTACCAAACAGCCTCCTTCCTGATTGCCTTGGTCTGGATGGTGTCCATTCTCATCGCCATCCCCTCGGCCTACTTCACCACCGAAACGGTCCTCTTTATTGTCAAAAGTCAGGAAAAGATCTTCTGTGGCCAGATCTGGCCGGTGGACCAGCAGCTCTATTACAAGTCCTACTTCCTCTTCATCTTCGGCGTGGAGTTCGTGGGCCCGGTGGTCACCATGACCCTGTGTTACGCCAGGATCTCCCGCGAGCTCTGGTTCAAGGCGGTCCCGGGTTTCCAGACCGAGCAGATCCGGAAGCGGCTGCGCTGCCGTCGGAAGACGGTGCTGGTGCTTATGTGCATCCTTACCGCCTACGTGCTGTGCTGGGCCCCCTTCTACGGCTTCACCATCGTGCGCGACTTCTTTCCCACCGTGTTCGTAAAAGAGAAGCACTACCTCACGGCTTTCTATGTGGTGGAGTGCATCGCCATGAGCAACAGCATGATCAACACCGTGTGCTTCGTCACCGTCAAGAATAACACCATGAAGTACTTCAAGAAGATGATGCGGCTGCACTGGCGTCCCTCGCACCATGGAAGCAAGTCCAGCGCTGACCTTGACCTCAAAACCAGTGGTGTGCAGGCCACGGAGGAGGTAGACTGCATCAGGTTGAAGTGAGCTGCTGGTGTTTCACAATTGAACAATAAGGTGTACTTAGCAAGTCACCAATAACCACGTTCTTCGGCTGCCTGGCGGAGGGACAGCTGTGATCATGCCTCAAGGAGCTGCATGCCTCTTGGTCATAGCACCTTGTGTAAAGAGACACACTGCATCGCAGCTGGCACTCACTGATATTTGCTTAGCACCTACTGTGTGCACCAGACACCAATGAGATTAGACCATTCTAGAGCAACTGACAATTGGCTGAACACCTATTGTGTGCACAGGTTAGACAAGGGCAACAGGAGCTGACATTTACTGATTCCCTTCTGTGTACACAAATATTTAACAACAAAATGGCAGAAACTATTGAAGTCACCAAGTTGTAGCCACAGATGAGGGTGGCTTCAGAGCCCACAAATGGCTGGGTTCATACCCTATCTTTCTCACTCTGCATCTCATCAAATGGAATGTCAGACGATGAGAGAATAAGGCACTTAGACATAATGGAAACGTTAGGATAAGCTTGGTCAGAACATGGGGTTTACATTGTTATGGGGAAAAAAATCATTAACACTATGTTGAACTTTCCCATCCAACTCCTACCTCTCTAGACATTCTCTAGGATTCTACAAGAAAATAATTTGTCTCTACCCAAGTCAGTATTTATCTGTAATATGATTTCAAAAGAAAGAACCAAGAAATCTTTCCACTGATGTTTATCATTTTTGGGAGGAGACAGGCAATCCTTAAATAAGGAAATCACGTCGTTCTTGGCATCTCAGTGTCAACGATTTCAGGATCTCATGTCAGGAAAGGAAAGACCATGAAAGAAGTGGTTTGCTACTGGCAATGAGCATAATCTCTGGACATTTTCCTAAGACCACACCTCTTTTCTAAAACACTCTTACAGAATGAGCTCTACTAGAATCCAAAGACCTGAGTTCAGATCCTAATTCAAGACTCATGTGACCTGAAGAGCTACTATCTTTGCATCCTAGTTTTGTTTCTGTGAAATATGAATGATGACAATATCGTCTTTGCCTAATTTATAGAACTATTGAAGTCAAAGTTTGTGCAAGTGCTTCCAACAAGTGATAAGACTGGAGAAGTGATAACGAGCAATTTGTTTGACTAGGGACACCCTCCCACTGTCCCTAACTTATGAACACTCCCACCTTTCATCCCTGTTCCGTGGACCAGAGGCCCCGGAACTCTTCAGTGTAGCCTGTCTAAACTATGGGAGGAAGGAATCGCTGCCCTACATCATTATCAGGAAGATTAACCCCAGAGTCTCAGTGACCTCCTGGCCCTGGGCATTCCTATGCTTAGTAGTGTTGAACATCTTCCTTGCACATTTCCAAACGGCACACCCAGAACTGCAGAATTGTTTGTATTATAAAGTTTTTGACTTGTGGACTGGTCCTCACTTCTCCCTGATTGGCTTCAAAGCAAAGACTATGCAAATAGCACCTGGGTTGGACTGGACGCAGTGACCCACCTCCCCATTCAGACAATTATTCTATCGAAAAGAGACTTGGTTGTTTGCTTAGTTGTATATGTTTTTAATTGTTGGCTTATTGTGTCCATCAGTGAAGTCTCAAGCAACATTTTCTTCCATCACCAATTCAGCAGACTCACCTCCAACTCAATGTACCCTCAGAAAATACACGCTTACTCTGTTAGCTTAAGCCAAGTGACATAAATCCTTATTTCACCAAAGGGCACAATGTATTCTAAAGCCAAGCTAGTAAGTATTGGAGGGTGTCTGCGTTTTTGCAAATACTAGTATCTTAACCTATTATCCTGACTGTTCTCCCAGTAAGAAGATTCTTTTTTTAACTTAAGATTTATTTATTTATGCATGAAGAGATAGAGGATTCACCAGTGATAGAGTTGGAGGCAGAACAGGCAGATGGACTGAGATAAACTGAGGGGAGCAGCGGGCGGGTCAGGAGAGGTCTGCCGTGCCATGTGGGTCACTTCCCTGCCTGGAGATCAAACTCATGCTGCAGTGGCTGTGATCTTGCTTCATATTGCTGTGCATCGTGTCATAGTGCTGCGCTTTAGCCCGTTGCAGGGAGTGCCGTAAGAAGATTCTTTAAGATTGTGTGCAACTGTTTGTGTCAAACAGTTCATGGAGCTATTTGGAAGTGAGGAGTGCCAAGTGGGAAGCAGATTGTGAGGAGAGGTGATCCTGGCCTCAGGCTTCCTCCTTTTTATCCTAAAATGCACCACCCTCCTACACTTCCACTGAACTGAAACACATTTTGTAAATATCAGACTGTATTTGTGATTTTCCAGTGAATCAAAGGTGTTGTATTGTTAAATGAAATAATTACCATATGGAATCTTAGCCATAGTGTTTGTTTTCCCTGCCGATCTTTCACATATGTGTTTTTAGATATAAGTGAAGTGATAGTCTTCTAAGCAGTTCAAACTTGAAACAGAAGGAACCTGTTGGAGGCATTTTCAGAGCAGTGGCAGCTCATGCCAGCCACCAGACTCATCTTTGTCTCCACCCCTCACGCTGACAACTGGAGAGTCCCCTTGCATGCAGATAAGCAGAGGACAGCGTCCCTGGCCCACGTTAATTACCCTTGTTTTCAGATCATCTTGTTTAATGAAAATGGTTTGCATGGAGACTATAAATCCATCTAACTGTTAAAATAATAAATCAATTGAACTTGTGTTTACCCTTGTCTGCTCGAGGCTAATTAATGGTAAGTCTAAGATACTTTGAACATGCTGGATATATAAACATTTACACATGCTGTTATAGACTAAAGTTTTAATCTTATTTTGAAAAACATTTTCTTGGCCAGGATGAGACAAAAGATAGTTTTGTAATGAAGCCATTGGTGATGTTTCTGTCAGCATGCAACATCTAAAATAAGTTGATTCTCAAATTGAAAAAAAAAATTAAAAACTGGCATCGGGCCCTTGGGCATAAAAAACAATTCCAGACTTCTGAGGGAGAATGTGACACGTGGGAGGTGATGAGGAAACTTAAATTGAGTTCTATTTCTAGGGGGAAATAAAGGTTTTGAAAAATATACCCTCAATTTAACCATTATCGCTCCTTTGGGCTCAGGACCACACACACCCATAAGACACTAGAGTAGGAAAGATCTTTTAAAGATACAATTCAACTCCCTCTTTTGTTCAGTTTTCCTGGCCTTGTTTTAGGCTTTTATTCAAGTATAGTTATAGGTATACAGAAAAGTTCATAAACAAGCCAAACAGCTTGATGAGTTTTTTAAATATTTATTTATGCACACAGAACCTGGGGTGCAGGCCAGAGGTACGGGGGTGGAGGGAAGTGAAAGGATTCACCAGAGACAGAATGGGGAGCAGAGGGAGCAGCGGGCGGGTCAGGAGAGGTCTGCTGCACCCTGTGGGTCAGCTCCCTGGCCGAGGATCAAACTCCTGCTGCAGTGGCTGCAATAGCTTCAGTGCTGTGCTTTAATCGGTTGTGCCACCAGGGAGGACCCAGCTTGATGAATTTTTACAAAATACACACCAGGTAACCAGCGCCCTGGAAGCCTCTCTTGAAACCCCTTCGAGTAGGTACTCTTCCTCACAAAGTAATCTTCATGTGTACTTCCAACACGAGATTGTATTTCAGCTTGCTTTGGAATTTATATAAATATACCCATCCAGGGTGTGTTTTGTGTGCTCGGCTTCTTTTCTCATAGTAAGTTTGAGACATCCATGTTACTGCAGGTAGCTGCAAAAACCAACACCCTCTGAATCCTATGGGAGGAAATGAGTGTTTATGGGCACAAGGCTTAACATCTGGGGGAGCCAAACCCTGGACCCAAAGTGTCACTCCGGCCCAGTGAGCTGCACTCAGTAACCACACCCAGTCCAAAGGAAGGGCCTTCACTGAAAATGTTTACTGGTGAGCTGGTTTCTGGCTTCTTTTGGGAATCAAATTTCTGGGAAGCGAACTTCCTTCTGAATGAGTGCATTTCACTGCAGGGATTTCAGAATCCAGAATCCAAGAGACACCAAAGAGAACTAAACCAGGACGACTATCTTTCCCTCCTGCCCTCCTCCCCTCGGAGAGAAAGAGCCCCACTGCAGGAAGTCTTAAACACACTGGATTTGAATGTCCATGGAGCTATTGGGAAGGGTGGGCACTGAGTGGGAAAGCAGATTGGAAGGAGAGGAGACCCAGGCTCCAGGGAAAGCAGGAGGCCACAGAAGGGACTTGCTCAAAGCAAGTCCGGCTGAGAGAGTGGCTGACTGATCACTGGCTGATCCCAGCAGCCATGATTTCCGTGCCTTGCAGGGATCACATGCCTCTGCTCAGCAGGTCAGCCTCTCTCCTGAGGTGCACCCCAACCAGGAGCATGTCACCTTTTAGGAGCCATTTGAACCACTAGTCCTTTACAGATACTTAGCTCCAAATACAGGATGGTTTCTTCAGGAAGTGAGCAGGTATGGGAAATAAATATGTTCACCCTTTCTTCAGGTGTAAAGAAGTAATGGGAGTCTCGGGTCATTGGAAATTAGAAAGAATAACACTTAACAGAGAAGTAGGCAGGGAATTTGCTCCAAGAAGCCAGGGACTCAGTCTTTGAAACAGAAGATTCAAGGTCTTTGCATCTCTTTGGTGACTCCTTACATTGAATTTCCACATATGAATCATAGGCTGAGATGAATTTCAAGTCTCTGGAATCTCGCTGAATGCTGACCTTGACTCCTAGGCCAGATCCTAATTGAACTATGTGCAGGATGACACGGTGTGTGCAGAAAAGGATCTATACTCGCGCATCTCTGTGCGAGCTGCCAGGAGAGAGATGCAAGCCAGAGTCTTAAGGTGACTCCAAAATGATTCACGGTTAAATCTATGTTCAAATTGAAACACTAGAGAGACACTATACAAAAATGGAGGGGATTTAGCCATGGGGATCAGGCAGTTCTGAGTAGGGGTTGTTAGGCAGAACCCTGAAAGAAGGGGGGTGGTGGGAAGAGTACCCTAGGCAAAGGGAATCTTTGCATAAACAAAGATGTAAGAAGCAAAATGAGGTGGAATTTAAGCAAGACAGTAAACTTTTGGTTTAGTGACACACAGCATGTCATGTTTAGGGGGGAACTAACTCCAGCAGTAGGTTGAAAAGAACAGAATAAAGAAATGTTGGGGTTTAGAGGGGGTGGAACTGAAAAATCAGGTTCTGAGTCAAGTTCAAATAGTAATAGTAATTTCTTATAGGTGTAAAACAGGAATAAAAGAAATATTTATGTCATAGGATTATGTGTATTAAGTATCTGTCTTAGAAAAATAATTAGCGCATCATATGCAGTCCATAGATATGAGCTGCTATTTTTAGAATGATTAATTCTGGAAAAAATTTCTCTGAGGTGAATCCAGAAGATAGTGTCACATACACTGGATATGATCTCTTGGGATTCTCAAACCAGAGCATTTTTAGTTTCTCTTCTCTGTTTATCTCAGACTCCCAATCATCCTGGCCAGATTGAGTCACAAGAGTTCTTCCACAGAGCAGAGAGGGTGCCCTTCCACCACTGAGCCTGCATCAGGAAATCTACTAACCCTCCAACAAAATACAGTGTAGGAAAAGTCTCTTCCATAAAAGAAGGAAACAAATACATATTCCTGACTGAATGGTGGCAAGAAAGAAGGAAACAGAAACTAGCTGAAGGCCAAATGCACCTGTCCTTGCTTTCTCCTGCAGAGGTTGAATCCAAGTGGGGAAGTTTTAGAGGAGGCGAAGATCATGGGGCAGAAAGTTGCCAATGAAATGCTTCCTAGGATCACTGGGAGAGGTCCTAGACCTTTCCTGGCTCAGACTCATGGTGACAGAGCAGTGGAGGAGGCAGGAGAGAAGAGAGCCTCAGGAAATATCTTGACATCCACAGTGATCAGTGGAGACTGAAGTTTGCAAGAGTTTATTGTTTGAAATTGGAAAGAAATCTACTGAAGTTCTAAAAGATTATACATATTCATAGCTAAGTTTGAGTTGCTTCTCTAACTCCTGAAAAGGGGACTTCTGGAACTTTCAGCAATGATAGAAAAGGCAAGCTACATCTTCCCTGTAGTATCAGCCGGCAGCAGAAGACCAGGCCGCCGAGCTTGGGAGAGAAGAAGAAAAAGCAGCTGTGAATCCACTGTCATATATCCCTGACCATCTGAAAGGGATGGAATTGCCAGAGAATCCAGATCCAGAACTTTGGGATTGCAGTCAAGACAGTAAGGCGAAGCCAAGTATGTCTCCAACATGGAAGGTGCAGGAAAATAGAGTTGATCTAGCATATGGTAGCCCTCAATATTGCAGCGCTGGTATTTGTGACTTTGCTCATAAGCAATCAGTGATTCATGATGCAATCATTGGGTATCTGGGGAGATGGAAAATTCCATCTTGCTCACCAGTGTCTGGGCCTTGCCAACTATATGGCAACCCCATCTCAGTGGGTCTTTCTTGTTCTGTACTCAGCATGATCCAAAAAGGGACAAGCAACACTGCAGGTCAAGGGAGGCAGGGATGTAGGGTGGAAGGAAAAGAGAAGAGGAGAGAAAGAACAGTCATAGTTCTTTCTGCTTCATTCCACAAGTGTTCGTTGGAAAACATAAAGGTAGGAGGTGTGTCTGCAAAATAGGCAGAGGGGAGGATGTCTGAAGGAAGAGTCATTCTCATATAAGCCTAACAGCTTACCTTCCACCTGACAAGCTTATCCCAAATTCAAATCAAGGCAACTTTCCAAGAAAGGACTTATTCTACCAGAGAGCAATATTTATTATAAAGCTGTACTGTGTGAGGTATTCCAAGACAGGAAAGACAATTGGGCCAATGAAACAGAATATAAAGTTCCAGACATAGGTATATATAGGAGCTGGGGAAAAAA